TTAACACGGAACACCCCATGAGCTCGTCCGCATATCGATGCAAAAAAAAAAAATTAATTTAAGAAAAAAAAAACGAAAAAATAATACATTTCCCAGTTGCGTGTTTCCCGTAACCGTCCATGTTCGCTCGACGGCACTTGTTCGCCCGCGAGTGTCCTGCTTTATATGCCGCTCACAGGCGCGCTCATTAGTTTTAGAACGCGCCCTAAAATAAAAGTGACAGCTATGCGTGACGTCACCGTGATGTCACGGGTCGACGACCCGATGCCGCCGGGGCGATGTACTACACGATTCCTAATTTGAAAAAACCGTTTCCATTACCTACCTACACTTCAAATTACATTCTAAATACAAAATATCTTTTTTTTTTGTTTTTTTTTTTTATTAACGGAATTCATACTTTTAGAAGACATAGAACACATTATTATTATTGCTAGAACATCTGAGGTTTTCATGTAATTTTTCTGGTGTTTTCGTATTGACCACTATGTACCTATGTACTTATAGATATTGTTCAGACAGTACTACTAATATACTGGGTCAGGCTTAGTATTGTGAATGTTGAACGTGGCACGGTTCGTTGACCCCGAAAACGTAAGATTAACCCCGTTCTCCGTTTTTAATTATGTCAAGGTCATTTGTCTTTAGAACGAGATGCTGACCCTTATTTCCGTTAGATTTTAGTTCTATTTACGTACAAACTGTAAAACTGTAGAGACAGTTTTTTCAAACAATTTCTCACACGTTTTTTTCTTTTTCCTTTTTAAACCTAATTACGTTAAAATAGGTAAAGCTTAATGAAAAAAATAATTGAAAATGTAAACAAAACGGGTTTGAAGTTTTAGGGCTTCTAGTACAAAAAAAAACAATATCAATGGCGCTAACAAATATCTCATCGAGACGTTCTAAAGTTAAAAAGAGATAAGAATAGTTTTGTTCTTAATTTAAAATTAAAAATGTTCGGTCGTTCTTCCGATGCAGCGCGCCGTGTCAGTTGAATCAACTCCGACCTTGAACTATAGTGATGTGCGCGAACACTTTCGGCCTCCTTTCGGGACGAGGCCGAAATTTACAAGAAATTTATTCTCATCGAGTCTTATTTTTAATATTCTAAACTACGAATAGAGTATGATTTTAAATCGCGGTACAGTCTTTCAAGTATTGGTGTATATTCGCGACCTGGTGTTAAGGGTTTATCGAAGACTTAACTTACAATAATGAAATTAAAATGTTATCAGACGGTTTTACTGGCGGTAGACCCTCTTGTGAGTTCACGCGGGTAGGTACTACCACCCCGCCTATTTGTGCCGTGAAGCAGTAATGCGTTTCGGTTTGAAGGGTGAGGCAGCTGTGGTAACTATACTTGAGACCTTAGAACTTATATGTCAAGGTGGGTGGCGCATTTACGTCGTAGATGTCTATAGGCTCCAGTAACCACTTAACACCAGGTGGGCTGTGAGCTTGTCCACCCATCAGACCAATAAAAAAAGTACTGTTTCGGCCAAATATATTTTAGTAAATAGAAAAGCATTAGCATCGGCGAGTTCAATCCTCTGGTTTTTTATTTCAAGGCTACTTACTCTGACTGCAGTGACGTCACATTCGTGATTCCGAATATTCAGTGGTTTCCCCGTAAATATTGCAAATCTTTGGTTATAATATTCTCAAGAGGTGACCTCAAGAGGCTGCGATCATCAACCACAGCTAGTTTGAATATGAGACCCTATCTAACGATATATAAGTCTTAAAATACAAAATGGCCCCACTTGGACGTTTTCTAAATACATTAATTAGTATTAATTAAACAAGCTGCCAGTGCGCTAACTGTCTAGTGACACCTATGAGTACAAGTGACAAGTCAAAGTGCAAAGGCGAGCCGCGAGTGCATTAACCTCGTCCCAAACCTACACGTGCTAACATTCTGTGCTTCAGTTACGTGCACACAATAATAATGCTTATTGCATAAGAAATACACGTGATATTGCTACTTCCCTGCTTAATTTCAGTCAAGAGTCTACCACGAAAAAAAATACAGGAGATTATCGCTTTTAACTTATTGGAAATTGGAATCAATTTCGTTTGTACGTAGTTGACAAATTCACTAGTGTCGTTTATGACCTTTCCGTACAAAATTCGTGTCATTACCGGTAATGTTTGATTGGTAGAATAACGGATAATATCTTCTTGCTCGGGTGAAAATTCCGATGAAAATAGAATTTACGCAACATTGTATTTAGGTTTATATTCATTTGAAAATAAATGCTCAATGCGTTTAGCTCCCTCGTACATTGACACCACAATGAAGGCAAGGACGTCTGATTTCAATAACAGCCCGCCAGTTCTGATTAGACAATCCAGAAAACCGGATTGTTCAAAGAATACCGAACCAACACACACAAGTCCAATACAGTAACAACAAAAAAACCTTACGAGGGGTGAAAGGGTAGGTTTAAGTGACATTTTTGCAACTTTACAGAAGAGCCATTGGAAGTTTAAAAAAATAAAAAAAATACAAACTTCTTCAGCTATTTAAACGGCGTAAACTTAATTAGAGTTCAATTAAAAACGTCGAGCTGTTGATGCTAATACCAAATAAAACGCACCTTTAATAACAAAGATAAATGTCGCATATCAAGCGAAATGTCCAAAAATAGCCTTTGACCACTCGATATACATTTTCTGGAATTTTCCAGACAACTGTTCACGTTGATCTTTAGAAAAAACCACCGGAAAAACCCAGCGCAGCACAAAACGTGTCACTAGCCGATCTAAGCGCTGCAGTAACCCAAATTTTTGTGCAATTAACACGAATAGAACAAAGACTTAGGTTAATTGCGAAGTATCATTATTGAATTTGGGGCACAAACATTCGAAATGTATTCGGGACACGATAATTATTTATCTTTTTAAAAAGATACTCAATGCTCTTGGGCAATGAGCGCACTTTGGTTTGGCGCGACTTTAAGTCATTTTCGCTATATCGATGGTTAAGCTATTAGCTTATTATGGGCATTACTTAGCTAAACGTCACACAGCCCTTTTGATGCTTCGGGCAAATTACAGCAACACTACCCAGATGTATTATAACGGGAAACCTTGGACATATTAGATGTGATGGCATTTTAAATGTACGGAACATATACTAGCTTCTAAAATAGCCTCTTCTGTCGCAAAACTCTCAGACAATAACTAATTATGTAACGCTGTGAGATGAACCAGCGCTCGGTTTCATGTACGTACGTCGTCCGTGCCAATAACAACGTCAATATTACACGCGTATTACGAGAACGTTGTCAACCGTTAACTCACTGAAGGCATGAAACAAACGTTAAAGAAAAATGAGAAGTCAGCCTTTTTAATACGGCGTTGCGATAATTCATTGTCCAATATAAGAAATGATTTAGTTATCTGGTATTTTATGTTAAATTTTCAAAAAGGCTAAGCCCCGTGAAGTTATTTCTCATAAGAAATAAGATATTCCGTTCCCCCTTGCGTTTGTATGCGCGAAAATTGTTCGAAAAGTCCGCAAGCAATTCTTTTGCAGACTCCAATCTACACGACATTAATGTAGCTACAAGTTTTTTCACGATTGGTATCTTATGTTCGATAACAATTCTCATATAACGACACGTATGTGTAATCCTGTACACCAGCAGCCGAATTCAGGACCCGAATCAGACGATGACCAGAGTCCATAGAAATGACAAACACCAATACCACCTTGCGACATTAGGTCAAATTCTTAATTGCATTGTGTAGTTCATAAATACTGACTACCGCCAAACCTACTATACTAGGTCATCGACACTCCATTGTTCCGTTTGCATTACAATTACATTTACTTACTTAATGATTGATTTACGTTACAGACTAAAACTACATTACGCTTTGAACGAGTTACAAATAATGTCTATTGTTAATACGCTATTCTATGACGAGCGCGTTAAGTTCGGACACGTCTTCCTCTACCTATTCGCTGGTATCCTAACAGGCTATTCCAGATACGTCCGGACGGGTAGGTGAGCTCACGGACTCAATCTGAGAGAATTTACTAACACTAGCCCTAGCAAGAGCAGTACTTCGCTGAATCTACCACCGGACCACTGTGAAGATCCGGCGGGAAATCCAATGGGTACGTACACCATTACGCGCTACGTTTAGTATTGTCAGAAAAAAACTAGTTAGTTCTCAAGCTTGTCACCGCGACAAAATAATAAAATAAATTAACGAGCTTATCTATTGAAAAAGAACGGACTTTGTGAGTCAATATTTTTTATTAACCGTGCATCCGATAAGCGTGTAAACAAATGTATCTTATTTGTCAAGGGTTGCGCATATAACCGATTCATTTAAAACAGAGAAATCGATTTTTAAATGACGTTCTTTGCTCTTTCCATATTCAAAATCAAAAATCAACATAAAGCCCGTTAGCCAATCAGACGAACGCTAAGCAACGAAGAAGACGCCATCTAGACTGTGGAGTTTGAAAGAGTCGACATAATATTCTGACTAATGGAAGCCACTTAGGACTTTACTAGACTCAGACCGGTAAATCTCCCACCAATAAAATAGACAACAATCTTAATTAGTGGTCCGTTGTAATAGTTACTGTCTACAATTGTTGTAAATGCTGTGTGCAATTCGACTAAAACAAAAAATAATAATCAAAAGATTAGATCCTAATATACAATCATCATAATTGGCAGTCTAGATGGTCACTGTTGGACTGCCTTACCTATTAAAGTAATGGTTCAGTTATCTTCCGTCTTGTGCCAACAGTAGCACCCCCAAGGAGGGTTGAAACTCATACCAGGTCCTTATGTGGTACGATATGGGGACACGCTGCGGCGATGCCACGTAACGTAGAATATGAACCAGAGGATAGTTCACACGAGCGGCCCGCACGAACCGTCTTAGGGCATATTACAAGACGTCCGATTTTCAGTAGCACAGGTCAACGACACACCGAGCCGGACCGATAATTTCTATTTGATGAATGAATTTAGATACCACAAAGATAGGGTAACGTTTGAACTATATACAAAGCGTTTTCCTCAATCTCTAGACTCTAGGTCAATGTCCTTTATATTTGTACGAAATATGTCAGTGTGGCCGAAGCTTAAACAGAACAAAAAAAAAAGGAATACCTCTTATAGAATTAGCGGCTTTTTTATCCATGAACATGCCAGATATCGATGAGCCGAAGAGGCCGTCGCTGCTGCCCGGCGGCGGCGAGGTGCTGTCCGCTACGGAACCGGAAGTGATGTCCATTCCCATTTGATTGTGCATCCCGACACCGATGTCGGTGTGAGGTTCCCTTTTCAGCTGCATTCCTTGAGGAAGCGACTGCTGATGCAGCATCGTCGAGGCCGAGGAGTGGCCCCCGTGCTGGTCCGGAGGCCATTGGGATCCAAACAGCTCCGGGAACTGGTTGTTATTCATCGTACGAAATTCAATTGTCTAAGTCAGTAAAGAAACCTTTTTAGGTTATTTTCGGCCAGTGGTTGTTTTTCGCGAATCGAATTCGCATCGCGGCTATGCACTAGTATCACTATTCGGTGTTCCTTTTTTGATTTTGTGTTTGTGTTTGTTTTTTTTTTTAATATCGACTATGTCGTTAAGGCAACTGTTTTGCGGTTGTATTTTTTTTTGTTTTTGTTTATGTAACCATAAGGTTTGTCTTGGAGAAAACTTTATGGCACTGCCCGGATTGTTTCTTCAACTTTGTTGACTTGCGTTTCACCAGCGCCGGTCGTTTAACTGATAAATATATTCCGGCCGAGCGGCGATGTGAGATTCCTTTTAGCGAAATTTATTTCTGGTATTATCTTTTTGAAGAGTAGCAAGTTTTTTGGCATTTTGTCTCCGTGATTCTGTTTTTTATGTTTCGCTCTCGTCTCAAAACATTATATATCATAAGGCACTGTGTTTTATTTGTTTACTGTGTTCACTTGTTTCCACTACAGCTTTTGCTTTGAATATAACTCGAAAGTTACACAAAATCTGTAAAGAGAAAACCAAAGCAGAGGGAAGGATTTATTTTGATTTAAAAAAAGAATTTAAACGAACCAAAATAAAATAATAAAGCTGTTAGAGTGCCAATTCGAAGTTTGAAGAGAGAACGATTTTAGCCGACCGAACGAAGCCGTTCGATCAGTACCAAAATCTTAATATATCGAATTTTACGTCGGTCACTAGATATTTGAAATTTTAAATTTGGAACACGTTTAGACGCCACCACGTTCCGTTTACGTAAATGGAAAACCGATCCCGTTCACTGTAGCACTCGAGGCACTGTCCACTTCAGTTAAAAAAAAAAAAAAAANAAAAAAAAAAAAAAAAAAAAAAACAAGTTGCGATCACCTCACTGGCTGCAAAGAGAAAAAATTTTGTACGTTGTAATTTTTGTACTATAAGGTTGTGCACAAGTCTGACTCGCGACGACAACTGGCAAGTCGGAGGATGTTGACGGCACTGCGGCCCGAACGTTACTGACGCATTGACGAATCTTCGGCGAGGCTCACGAAAAAATTATATTTTTTTTTTTCACTCGAGCCGAATAATCAACTTAGCTCATAGTGATAGTTCAGTCGCCCCGCGCGGAGTTCGGACGAAAACCTTTCAGTTTTCATAGTTAAGGGAGAATTCCTTCGCGACCCACCGACGGCTGACGCACACGTCCGAAATAAATAATTATTAGTCGAAAAATGCGTACGGTTACCGTGTAATTAAGAGACAAAGTTGCCCATTAGGCGCGTTGTACGCAAGGCGTGCCGGCTGTGTGTGCGTGCGTCGGCGTGTGCGGACACAGCGGCGCGCGCACACAGACTCACAGGCGTCACACCGGTTCGTTGACCCGAGGACCCAAACAAAGTAGATTTCGGTGAAATGCTGTTGAACTCTAGTTTCGAATGTAGAATCGCGGAGCGATATTATTCTGCCGCTTTACCAGACTAGCGAAATTTTTGGCAATCGATGCTAAACTCCAGCGTTTTTTTTTTTTTTGAAATATTTCTTCAAACTTTTTTGATAATCATATTTAAAAAAATTACAATAATCCTCGGTTATCGACAACACTAATGGAATTCCCGTAATTCCACGTTCAAATTATAATATTAGTACCTAGGTACTGTTTTTTAACAAATTCGAAATTCGAAATCTAAATGTTTTATTTTGTTCGTTAATGTGGTAATACGATTTACGTTAACAGTTCGTTGACCCCGGAAAAATGTTGACAACCTCACAACAAATAAACTTCGAACACACATTTGTGTGTTCGAAGTTTGAACTCGCGCAGCTCACCGCATGCAGTTGTGTCATATTGCGTTTTTAATTACATTTAGTCATAATAAAAACTTCTTAATGTTCACATCAGGTAGATAGTAACCAATTGGGTTCGATTCTAAAATCGAATTCGCGAATTTAACATGGCACCGTTTACCCCGGAAGAGGCGTAGCGTGATGAATCCTAAAAGCGAAGGGAGTCGACCTTGCGACCGAGTGAGAGGCACCTCGTGACGTCACGATCTCCAGTCTCTCTCCCACTTGTGGGCTAATGACCTATCGATTCGAGACCACGTGCTGTGTTATCTGTAAACTAGGGATTCGGTGTGTTTGTGTAAAAACTAGTTTCTTTTTTTTTTTTTCGTGATACGGAATGTTATGGGTTCAAGGTGATGAGTTTATTTCTAACGGAAATTTAGATCTAATCAAATATGGTGACACCTACGTTAAGTTGCTTAGCGGGAAGTAAGTTTTGATTCTGCCCAATATTTTGAGGTTTAATATTATGCAATTTTCTTTTCTGTCACAATAAATAAATAAATGATTTTAAATTTTAAATTACGTTTTATTGATGATAAAAATATATTTAATCACAATATTATTAATCCACTAGGTGCTAAGTGATTACGAGAGTCAATGGACATCAACAATGTTGATGCCGTCACTCACCTTAAAACGTTAGTTCTATTTTTTTTCTTCTTTTATTGCTTAGATGGGTTGACGAGCTCACGACCCACTTGGTGTTAAGTGGTTACCGGAGCCCATAGACAACTACAACGTAAATGCCGAGATATGAGTTCTAAGGTCTCAGATTTACAACGGCTGCCCGACCCTAAAAGCCAGAAGGCGTTGCTGCTTCACGGCAGAAATAGGCAGGGCGGTGATACCTACCCGTGCGGGTTAACAGAACGCCCTAGTAATTACGCAAATTATAATTTTGCGGGTTTGATTTTTGATTGCACGATGTTATTCCTTCACCGTGGAACTCAATCGTGAACATTTGTTAACACGTTGACTACGGGACCATTGTTGGAAGACTCAGCCAGTGCGCATGAGGCCTTTTCGAGGTGAGATTGGACTTCTTTATGGTGCATATGAGACCCGATGAGCCTAGCAAAGGATCCACCCATAAAAATCTGGACATTGTCGCTTCAAGCATCGTGCGGAAGGCCACAGGTATGAATGCTGCATCAGAAGACTGTCGCGTATGGCGCTTTTTAAGCCGCAAAACGCAGTCAACATGTTAAGTTTTTTTTTTATGATTTAGGGTTTACTGTTGGCCCGGAGGCCTTTCCAGTTTCACAAGGACAGGTGGGCAAGCAAGGGCTCAGCCAGAAAGGGCGGGATTTGCCAACAGCTATCACATGTTGAGTACGTATTTCATTAAAATTGGCCTTTATGGCTACGACGATTTGTGATTAATCTTTTTGTTTTAATGACATTAATATGAAATTTTAGACAACTAAAACCATATTTATATGGGCTTTAAGATTTAAATCTCTTTCTAAAACTGTTCCCTTCATACACTTACGTTCTGCGCTCGGTGTATCATCGCCTTAATAATGATTCTTGCATTAATAGAAGACACGTCCAAAAACGTCATCTCACTAATTATTATTATTATTAATTTATGATGAATATCGATTTTTTTTTGTAATGACCCATTGTTTTCGGTGTTAAGTTTGAATTATTTTTTTATTGTACAGATGAGTTGACTAGATCACAGCCAACCTGGTGTCAAGTGGCCACTGGAGCCCATAGACATCTACAACGTAAATGCGCCGCCCACCTTGAGATATAAGTTCTAAGGTCTCAAGTATAGTTATAGATATTGGGGTTGGGTGATTTGGATGATTGGGTGGTTGGTTCGGTGTTGTCTTTATGCGTCTAACTGCTACCACTGTGTTTAAGCAGTGGTAAAGTCTAGACCAGACAATTGAGGGTCACGTTCGCATATCCATTGTTCCGATGCACGGTGCGTGGTGACGGGCCAGGCAACCACTTCGCTTGCACTGCTGATGTCCAAGAGCGACAATAACCAGGTACCCACAAAGGCCATAACAGTGTGTTTAGTGCGAGTTTTTTAACGTTCTCGATAGCGTAAAAGTTAACTCAAATTTTAATGGAGTTTAGAACAGCGCCCCTAGCGGCAAACGCAGGCAAACGTTGCAACTCCATACAATATTGAGTTAACTTTTACGCGATCGAGAACGTTTAAAAACTCACATTAAACACACAGAATCATCATCGATTAAAACGTGTAGTGGTCAAACATTGAGGAATTGTTTGAGATGATCCCCTTCACCTCCCGCCATCGGAGCAGAGTTCATCCATATTATCTAGAACCGCTGCGTTCATCGACAGTACGTTTCCAGAGGTCTTTTTTGCCACGTACCATCCGGCTATGGAATGAGCTCTCCTCCACGGTGTTTCCAGAGCGCTATGACATGTCCTTCTTCAAACGATTTTGGGGAGAGTATTAAGCGGTAGGCAGCGGCTTGGCTCTGCCCCTGGCATTGCTGAAGTCCATGGGCGACGGTAACCACTCACCATCAGGTGGGCCGTATGCTCGTCTGCCCACAAAGGGCAATAATAAATAAATTGTTAAATCACTTGATGCCTAACAATGGATGTCGCGTGTTTGAAAGATTATGAGGTGTCACTTTTGACAATGGCATGTCGCGTGTCATTGAACCGGCGGTGTTGCATTCGTGAGATTGCATAATGAGATCTAGAGCCGCGTGCTCGGACATGTTATGTTGTAGGCTGCAGTCGAAGCGCGGAATTCGAATATTCAGATAATAATCTTTTTTGTAATTAATTAATACGTTGCAATGCGGTCCGCCGGTGGGCCAAGCCAAAGTCAGGGAATCAGTAATTTGTATCCAACATGAGATTTTCATTACTAAAATTTATAAAATGCGTAATTTTGCACGGAAGATTAAAATTAGCTACTTTTACCGTCTAGTTTTTTAAGATATTTCAAAAGGCTATAATTTTGATAAAAACTACAAGTTTAGATTAGATTTGCAAACTAAGGCGTTTGGTTCGGCTAAAGGGCCACGCGGCTTACTTCCATACGCGTTTTGTTCGATAGCTGATGGTAGGACCTCTTGTACTGGTGTTAGAACCTCTTGTACTGGTGGTAGGACCTCTTGAGAGTCCGCACGGGTAGGTACCACCACCCTGCCTATTTCTGCCGTGAAGCAGTAATGCGTTTCGGTTTGAAGGGTGGGGCAGCCGTTGTAACTATACTTGAGACCTTAGAACTTATATCTCAAGGTGGGTGGCACATTTAAGTTGTAGATGTCTATGGGATCCAGTAACCACTTAACACCCATCTAGGAAGAGCCGCGCTTCGCAGATTCTACCGCCGGATCGGAAACGTGACCCACCGAGAAGATCCGGCGAGAAACTCAGTGGGCTGATAATAATTAGTCACTCCTGTTGCCTAAATCGGTAAAGTTGGCCTGTGAAACGAATCAATTCTGTGTACACATTTTTTTTTATTCAGGGCTTTTCCGAACAAGTCCATATTTGAATTTCAATTGCAGCATAATTCAAGATAACGACTCAAAAACGTAGCTTACGAATCTAGTTATATTTTGTAATGACTAGGCGTAAATCCTAATATAATACTGTACACATTGCTGTGAGAAAATACAAGAAAA